AATGTTTCTACAAGCATAGCCGTCATATCCAATTAGAAACTTTTGCAAAAAAGAACAACCAAATCAAATTTATTCCTGCATTTGTATTGAAATTTAATTCATTCGATACTGGTTGCTTTGACTTAAATTTCACCAATGTCAAATTGTATACATATGTAGAGATTGATTCTCTGACCTGCAACTTGAGGAGATTATTGAATTGCAATCCATTTTTCGTACTGTAAGAAAATGTTTAAGGGAACAACCGCATTCAGACATTTTCAGTCCATGTTTCTTTTGGTATCATTAGTTCCACTTTAAGGCAATATAACAGTCTAATTATCATCAAAATGTTGTTTTTCGTATTTCACTTTCGGTTTTGTAGTTATGTGTGCGCAATGCACGTTTGCATGCCACCTTTCCTTTATAGAGTGCACGTTTATCTATTGACTTCATTTTCAAGTTTGTCTAGAGAATTTTTGATTTAATTGTCATTGGGTATATATATTAGGTACACGTATCATTTTTTCTAATGTTTACTACACATTGTTAGTATTTTATAGCTCCATGAGTTGAATATGTTCAATATTTTCCTTAATTGTTCATGGCAACTTCCCCGAACAATCACTCCAAACGTCAATAATATAAATGAAAAAGATTAAACCTCATATATCACATAAATTTCAAAGTTCGTTACACCTCTACATAAATATCAAACTCTCCTGATCAACGTTATGGTGGCTTTATGGTATCCCGGGTGAAATTCGAGGTACTGCATACTTTGAGTCTAAAAACGCTATCTAGACCTCATATTAGTAGGATTTTTTGCGTGATAATATATCATAACCCTCAATGAGTGAACCATAGGTCCTAATTATTATCTAAATTATAAATAATAAACTCTAAGATGATGCATTCATTTTGTTGCATATATTTGGACGAATCATAACCGTCGATTATTGTTTCTAATTAAATTGAACTTGGGGTATAAGATTATTGTTTCTAATTAAATTGAACTTGGAATATACTATGAATTGACTTCGCCTAATTTTTTATAGATCATTTCAATTTTTTATTACTGTCGATTCAATTGGGTATGTAAGACGAAGAATATCTATAATGGATACATCCTCAAACACGACTTCATATATGGATGAGACTGGACCCGACAGTTCGATCATCAATCGGTCGAACTGAGTCAACTTTCTCAAAAGAGACAATTGTAGGGTCCCCATAGTGGCCTACTAGTCCTGGTAATTGTCACGGTATATTGTTGGAATAAACTTAGCAAGGATCTAGCAGCGCATATGCTGCCAGGGTAATGATTCTGAGTCAAAAGAAACTCTAGTGGAAGCTAGCCTATGCAACGCCTCTCACTCTTGCTTCCTCGCACATCAAGTAGTATGGTTTTGCTTTTTCTCATTACTTCTTTTCTTCTTATTTGTGAAACCAATGGGAACTTCAACACTGTAATCACCTTTAACCTCCACATTTGCTTTAAGATCCCATAGACTCGTCACTCACCACATGAGTAGTGGTTGTGAGAGAACTTAGGGAATAAGATCATGGTCTTCAGATCCGATAAATTTGCATCTACACTAGTACAGCGCGATCATATATACCATGCTCTCCAATGGAGTTGTATGTATGAGACCCTAAGTAGGTTCTCGCCCTACCAAAGAAAGACAACTCATGCTTGGTAATTGTCATTAAGTTCATTTCAAATCAATTAAGTAATTTATTTCTGTTTAAATCAAAATTAGTGAATTAAGTACAAAACATATGAAAAAAGGATGTCATTTTAAAGAGTACAAGTTTTTGTGTTTTCAACATGTCGTTCGATTTTATCGCGAAAAAAATTAGATACCGAATCAGCTCTCATATATACTTTGTAGGGATCAATTGACACGTTTAATTTCTTGTCTCAATCTAGCAGCCGGTTGATGATTCGACATGAAGTGAAATCAAATTATATGAGAAGCTCATGTGGAAAAAGGTTAGGGAAAAAGGTAGGGTCAACAAAAGTTATGCAGAATTAAAAGATTGGGAGGTCTTCTTTGCACTAGCTTACTGGTATACATTTCCCTGTCGCATGAATTTTTCGTTAGGTGGAGAAGAGTGAGAGAGCATAAGAGGTATTCATGCACTAATTAATTTCCCCGTTGATTCCAGATATTCGAGAGTTACTTATAACCCAATTAATTATGCGTTCTATCTCAGTAGAGCTTTTTGTGACTGCGAGGCACGCGTGAATGGGATTCAGAGTTAGCTTCTTAGGGTTACATCTGGACACTGCGAGCTAATGAAAGGCGCATTCATGCTTAATTGCCTGCATCATCCACCCACCCAGCATTACACTTGTCTTTTTAATTACGTTTAAGATCAGATCCCCATAATCTCTTCTAATGAGATGACACTTCCACATGAGTTAACAGAAAGATGCATGGGCCAACATTAATAGTAATAATAATATAATAATAATAATAATCAAATATCCCCCGATCCATCTTCTTTCATGTCTGGTATTAAAGTGCTTTACTTTGTTATGTTATCATATCATCTAATTAATCTATGACAATTTTGATCTAATCTATTTTATCCGACTTGCTTTAGGGTGGGCATGGGTACTCTCGCCTGACCTCACTTGTTCTGACCCGCCACATTCTCGATCCGTTCCAGTCTAAATTACACGTAGTTTTAATCAAATTGTTTAGGGTTTTACTTTTATAACCTCATATTTAGCTATAGTGAAGTTGTAAATATGTTAGAACATCAATTTCTCAAATAATTTAAATGTAATAGTCTGTTTTTAGGTTTTCTAATGAAAAAAATAATATTTTTTATTATGTTATCTTTAAATTTCTTAGTCCTATAGATCGACATCTCCCAAACCGTACCTCATAATAAATATAAAGATACCCACATTGTCATTCCTATATATATTTTAGTTATCCGGCTAGCATTCAAATGGTATGCATCTTAAAAGTTATATTGTCCTTGTTGTCCTTTCTTAGCTACTTATTCATCATTTATGCTTTGCTTTCTTTCTCTTCAGCTATCCGGTTAACGATCGCAATCATTCTCCACAGAAACAAAAAGATGCATGTGATGCCTCAGTAGCTGATTTATGGGTGGATCATAGATAATTAATTGACGGCTAGCAGCAGTCTCCTGTATACTGTATGGATCATAGCTGAGAATTTAAAACCTTCATGACTAATTTTGCAACACAATTAAATGTGAAGATTTGGCGAATTTAGCCCATACGTTGTGAGTTGTTCATTAGGGTATAAATAATCAAAGTGTATTGAGAATGCAGGAGGGATAAGTAATACAGTGGTTACAAGTGATAGATACACTAAGTAAGAAAATACTATCTAGATCTCGAATTAATTTGATTTTTGGACATGATATTATATCCTAACTCTTAAAGAGTGAACCCTGGGTCTTAGTTATCGAAATCATAGAGTCTAAACCCCTAAGGGTTTGGGAATAGTAACGGATGCCAAACTCTGGTCAAAATTTAAGGTCTAGATATCATTTTCTCACTCAAGGTATGTCATACCTTTGATTTTACCCAAGGTACGATAAATCCCAGGCCCCGATTTTCTAAACTCAAACCAGAAGTTCAATTTAGTAGAAAATATTAATTGACCGTTGAGATTGGTCGGAGCTCAGAAAATGAGATCTAACAGTCATATCACATGGAGTATGGTATACTCCAGGAGTATACCAGTCATTACCATATTTATATATACAATATATGGCAAAGTCTAGCGTACACCCGGCGTACGTTGTACGCCTATGTTCACACTAGGTTTTGCACTTCAATATATTTCGCTGAATCAGAACCGTCGGTTATTATTTTTTAGATTAAATGAATTTGGTTGCATAGGTTAGAGAACTAGTGTAACACCCTACCCTGTACGTTTTTGCCTAATCAAATTGTTTATACATTCACAGCGAAAATAATCTCGGGTGTTACATTTATTCATAAATCTTGACAAAATTAAATTCGACATGAATCACTCGCGTAATGGGCTAACAGTTCTTGCAACTAATCCTGCAAAATGATTTATTTGAATCCTTGCATTCATAGACATACATATATACTCACAACCATATACATTAGCTTTTCATAGCCATAGTAACATTTTCATACTCTTCAACTACATACCATACTTATACGTGCTGTAATTTTCACAACTTGCTCAACCACACACATATACACATATCATCAACTTCTCACACCTGTGAATATCTCACACTACATCGGAAACTAATATGCACATAAAAAACATTCTCAAAACATTTTCACAAAAAGATGTGGATCACCGGTCCAAATCCTGAGTAGTCATCCAAGCACAAAATAGTTGAAGACCATACCTCATCTTGACTTCATCTCCTAGCTCTGCTCACACCCATGTACTTTGCTATTGCTGCTGATGATGATCTCTGCTTATGCATGACAGAAACAGATGAAAAGAATAAAAGAGGGTCGGCTCGTAGCTGAGTGAGACAATCATTTCACCATATCACCATAAGTAAATTACTAAGAACTACAAATATGTGGCTACTTGTTTATAATAGGTTTGAACATTCACAACCAATTGATGTTTGTTGTTGTCCTTCACCTCCAGCTTTCATGGTGTCAGTACGATACCTCAGGTCTCTAACAAAGGAACAGAGAGTCAGTCTAGGCACTTCAAAAGGAAAATTGACATAAAAGTATTACTAGAGGAGCATCATTTAGTTCAATTAAATATCCTCTTATGATCCATTCTTAAATCTTAAGTGCACTCGAGCACACTTGAGGAGCATCAATTAGTTCAATTCAAATCAAGGTATGTTCCCTTAAGCATCACATCTAGCCTTAGCTGCAGCTAGTGTGTGAGTTGTTTTTTTTTTCTTTTTAATTATTATTAGGTAGGAGTATTTGTTCTTTTCTGATTTTCCTGAAAAGTCAGTTACATCTTACATGTTTTTTAATTTAATCAATAAAATAAACAATATCAAAGTGTTGAACAGTAAGTCCTTTATCGTTACTTTGGAACCAGTCGTTTGGGCCATTTCTAATGGGCCGATGAGTTTGGTTGAAATTAATAAAACAAAATCAATGTTATGTCACAACCACGTGCACTAATAAGAAGTCTCATCTCATCACCGACGTCGCATTTTTTACAACGACACCGTAGTATTGGCCCGGTGATTATGGAGCTATTCCGAACATGAGTTGATGTGGAGCTGGACTCCCCCAACAGAAACAAGATATACTCATTTGATGGTTGAGGGTATACGGGCCTGACTTGGATCGTGAAAATTGGGACCGATAAAGATAGGCTTAGAGAAGAGTTCATAAAGTCCTAATAATTAAGCAAGAGAAACAACCCCACATACTAAAGCATATAAGCCTCATGATCAAGACCCAAAAGAAATCAACTACTTTGGGCCCATACTGAAGAATCAAAGGGGCTTTGTTTTGCCTATCCATACTATATCATACTAAGAGCCCAATGGGCGCAAGCATACAACAACCCACTCGAATGGGCCCAACCAACTAGCAGCCGCTTTCCACCTCTAAGCTATTGAGCCCACCACCACTTTCAGCATTCCCATTTTGGTTTTCAACACTACCCTTCTTCCTTTCCTTGCAGTAGCATCCGTACAGAAACATTTGAGCCATCCCCAACACAACTCCCACTCCATTCGGAATCTGCAATGCAAAAAGGACAAGGAAAATTCCAAAATAATGCTGCAGTGGAAATAAACTTGTCTTTTTTTTTTTCTTAAAAAACAAATAACTAAACAGACGATTAAAATTAATCACCGAATACCATGATATAGTAATCATGCAGCAAGAGTCCATAAGCTAGCCAGAGTGTGGCACTCAGGAAGAGGAAAAAAGAGAGCGTGAAAGGCATGAACTCCACGCTTTTTGTATGCATCACCTGCCTCTGCACAACCCATACATTTCATACCAGACTGTTACTGAAAACCCAGATTATTATGGAAGAAGAAGAAGAAAAAAAATGAAGAGTAAGTTGGTGAGACAGACCATAATGGTGAGAGGAGAAGCGAACATGAAGCAGGAAAGAGCTGCACAGAGCCATCCCACCACCTGAAGCCGGACCTCCCCTTTCGCGAAGAATCGTGTCAGGACAAGTATGGCGATGAACCCTCCAACGCTCGTTACAGACACCAGCTTCACTGTCAGAATCTGCATTGAATTTTTTTTTTTTTTTTAATCAATAACGGTGATCGAAACCCCTCGCGAATCGAATCCCAACAACAAGCTAAAGTGGCTTGCCTTGGCTTGCTTTGGAGCATAAGCTACGAAGGCCAGGATGTAGAAAGTCTCGACAGCGAAACCGACGGAGTTGACGACGAGGAGAAGGTCGTTGGACTTGAGCACGGCGTAGTAAATCCAGAGCATGGCGCTGAATTGGGAAGCTACGTAAGGGACGGAGTGAAACCCTTCCGTTGATTTGCTTCTGTACACCCTCCAAAACGTCCACCTGCCATTAATTAATGCCATGATATTATTATGACCCAATCAAGTTCATGTAGTCTAGCAATTGAATACTAACTTACATGGGTGCAAGGTACATCATGATGGAGGTGATATTGCCTGATCCAACACATAAATTCGTATCAAGATTGATCATGAACATAATCCGTATCGAGATGGGTATTAATTAATCCGCGTGGTACGGGGATTGTGTATATACTAGTGAACTTACCAAGAATGCCGATAGTAAGCAGGAGGATCTGATCAGGATGGTGATGATGAGCCTTCATTCTCACTTTCACTTTACTAGAGCTTATCTCAGAACTCTTTTTTCTCTTTCCCTTCAACACACAACTAGACATACAATGCACAACTATCTATCTATATATATATATTGTAGGCTACTGCTAAATGAATTAGGTACCAAGTACGCAACAAGCCCTATGACCAACAAAAGTTTCAAGTTGGTGGAGCACACGTACACAAATCAAGGTTGTCAATCCGCAGGTCGACCCGCGGGTTGACCCACTTTGATCCTGACCCGGTGAGAAAAACGGGCCGCACGCGCCCGCCGGGTCGACCGCCACAAGGTACCGGGTTGGAGGTCAAATTGTGTCATTTTTTTTCTTTGTTTTGCAAAATGCGTCTATTTTCCGATTTTTCTTTTCGCCTAACTCAATCTTTGGAATCCTAAGTTGAACATTTGAATATTAATGTTATATAAGTGTGTGTGAATTTTCACTATATGTTGAATCTAAGTACGAAATGTTATTTTGGTGTAATATTATATTCTTATAACTCATATGTTAGATGAGATTTGATATAATTTATCAGGATAAGTATAATATAATGACGCTTTCCATATTTCCGGGCTAAACCGGACTAAAACGGGTGACCTATTAACCCTTGACCCACTAACTCAACCGGATCCGGGTCAACCCACGGGTTGACAACTTTGACACAAATTAAAACCTAGCTAACTCGCCACAATAACTTGGTCTTCCCTAATAGTGTACTCAAAACAACTTTTTGTAGAGACGAGACACTGCATCATGTCACATGAATGCGTCTGGGTAAAGTAGAGTGGTTTTTTATTTTTATTTTTTTGTTGTTGTTGTTGCATTTCTTCGTCTGATTTCCTGGATTCAGCATTCCATGGTAAAAAGTGAAAACAAGGAGCTGCAAAAGTAACCCTGCTACTTTTCCCTGAACGATCATAGTCAAAAAGGGTGGGTCTGTGATTTTTGTGGAGTACATTGTTATTGTTATTACAATTCTGGTCACGGGTTAGGGGGGAACTCTATCTTGGAAATGTGTAAATTCGTGCTCAGCAGGTACAACACAGACTGCAAGCCAATTCAGGGAAACACACAAGAGAAATAGTGTGGAGAATCGCACACGTTGCGGACAAATTGCACGGCTGAGGTTTCAGCTCGATGCCAGTTTCTAATTACATGCTCCGTTCACACCAAGCTTTCGATGAGTTATTTCTATTTGGGATGTTTCTCGTTTGTAAAATGATATAGTTCGGTATAGCTACAATTTGTGAAGAAATTTCACATAAAATTATCATTCAATATTAAGAAGTAGTAGTATTATATATGGCTAATACCAAATGTGACATGTTGGTTGCAAACTGAATTTTGTTTTCGTGATTGTCTTTACTGGGATAGAAAGGAAAATAAACCATATTACATGTAATGACAAAATGATAACATTAACACAAATGACTCAATGAAAATTACTCATCCAAACAAATTTTAACAAAAAATTATTTGGAAATATCTATATAGTCAAATATCTATATTTTTCCCAAATGACTAGTTTAATTTGTAGTTATTGTTTGGTATTTGTGGTTCTGAAAAGGTGTATGTAGACAATTCATGTATTAATATAGAGAATCTATAATTTTCGTATCAAGATAATAAAAAAAATTGTGTGCATTTGAAACTTGAGACATTTTTAATACTTCATTTTTATGATTTTAAATGTCAACAAATAACTTGATATTTTTTAAATTATGATTTTGAGATTGTAGATCCAAATTTACTTCCATTTTTATCCCTAGTGTGTTTCATGTATCCCCATAATGCCTCAACTACCTAATTTCCCACCAGTTGAATATTTTGCTAGGAAAACAAACCTCTAATTTCCCTCTTCTTTCTTTGCTTCAACTCTTCCTTACCCTAATTTTCTACAAGCTGTGATTCTCTTTCAAATCGTGAAACTTTTCAGCTCGTATACAAACATTTGATGTTAATGGTCAATTTTTAGAGTAAGAAAAAAACATGTAGTTGGCTCTACATTTAGAGAGAAGGAAGGAAAATGCTCAGTTCAAGGGGCTGGTTCCAATACAAATTTGTTGTGGATGCTGCAGGTGAGGTGCTCTGGGAAGGGAAGCTGATGCCACATTTTTTGCTGTCAGTCATATCACAGATAGCTAAAGTGGATTGGTGGAAAATAATCTGGAATAAGTATGTGATCTCTAGAAACAGGGTTATTGCTTGGTTGATAATATTGAACAAGATCACCACGAGGGACAAGCTCAAGCAATGGGAGAGGATCTCTAACTCACTGTGTGTTTTATGCAAGGCAGAGGAAGAGACCCAAGATTATCTTTTCTGCACCTGCTCTTATGCTCTGGAATTTTTTGTAGCGGATTTTGGCTCTAGCTAGTGGCCAAGTGATTGGGATGCCCTCAAGAACTGGATACGACGAAGAAGCAATAAGGAAGGCAGCAAGGGTGTGATTTGGAGTGCGATATGGTGCTGGTGTATTAGTGCAGTATGGAAGGAGATATGCGCTCGGATGTACAAGGGAGAGCAGCGATCTGTAGAAGATTACAAGACGATGGATTGCTGACTTTAACTACTTTGTCGTAGGAAAGCCAGAGTTCCAGCTGGAAGTTCAGAAGATTTCTCACTTGAGTGGTCTATTGTATTCAGAATAGGAAGTTTGAAAGTTGTTCTGTTTGTATCTTTGTAAGCAGAACAGTAGAGCACAACTCTTGGTTTTTTGGAGGGTCCTGTTTTGTCAGGCGAAGCTTAATAAAATTTTCGATAATTACCGGCAAAAAAAGTACTACAAATTGGAACTCGTTAAAAATTTCACGCCTTCAAACCCCATAGTGGAAAATGGAAACTTTCAAGCACCTTACCTCGGCCATCAAGACCCGAAGGCATAGACAGTGGCTTATCGAGCAGCTAATAAGTAATAACCATATATATTTATTTTTAATTGGACTCGACATTGAGCTAAAAAAGTTAGTGGTTCATGGTTCAATTTTTAATTTTTTAGACAGTTGGTCACTCGTGTATGGACCCGTTAATACTCGTGATTATAATACATAAAAATAGTATACTAATTAGGGTTAGACCAAGAATGCAAAGAAATAAATAAAGAAAGGGTCATGGAAGGCGAGTGAAAAATGAAACGAAGAGGAAGTAGATAATGGAAAGGTTTTGACCAATTCCTTTAGTTGGGGTATCAAAATATAAAATGCACATTATAGTGACCAAGTTGTAATTTAATTATATTTGGGTTTGGGGTTTCAAAATATAAAATGTACATTATAGTGACTAAGTTGTAATTTGATTAAATTTGGGGTATCAAAATGTAATAAAATGAGTGACTAAGTTATAATTTAATTAAATTTGGGTTTGAGGTATCAAAATGTAAAATGTACATTATAGTGACTAACTTGCGATTTAATTAAATTTGAGGTATCAATTGTAAGTTAATTAAATTTGGGTTTGGGGTATCAAAATGTAAAATGTAGATTATAGTGACTAAGTTGCGATTTATATAAATTTGAGGTATCAAAATGTAATCTTTTGTGCAACGGTAACTTCACTTTCGCTTTATATATAGTAATATATGTCTTTACCTTAAAAAAGTAATAGTACACATTTCATTTCCGAAACTACAAATGCAATCACCAAACATTAAAATGTTATATTACATCCATTTATTACCCTAAACAAAATACCAATTTATAATACAAGTATTCCATCAATACTTAACAAGCACCAAACATGACAGTAAGTACACCAAGCAAATGGACCTAATTCTTCCTTTCATGTGATATTGACCCCAGAGACCAGCAGCTTTCTATGAAAAAAAAAAAAAAACAGCAGCTTAATTAGCTATAAGTAACAAAGTAACAAAAGATGACAAAACACAAGTGGGCGTGTAATTCTAACTCGGCACTTGATCATGACAATCGATGGGAGGAGTTCCTAACCCAACCACTTTCAATTACAAACCGATTATGCTTTGCAATCGCCTGCATCACCATTGTTGATTCGACTGGTTCAGCTCAATTTGTTTTGTTTCTTGTTAATGGTGGAGCAAGGAATGAGTCCTCCATTTGGCCTGTTTTGATCGTTTTCATCAACCTGGTATATCTAACTCCAGTCTTATATTTACTCAACCTTTAAACTTTCTCTAAACAATAGTTTTAAGTCGAATATAATTATCGTTAAGCAACAGTTCTCTATCTCTCAAATGATTTGATTTTATTAACCATTTGATCCTCTACATTTTTGTTTAAATTTCTTAGTTTCATAATAAAAATGAGTTGTAAGATTTTTTTATTGCACATGTATATCTAAGTACATCCACATCAATGATTTATTATTTGGTCAATTGCTCTTCATTTTAACTTACAACAGTTGCTAATGGGAAGGGCTAATATGCTAACACATTGAGTCGCTACCACTACAAGTCAATCCCAACAATAGGTCAAGTGTAACCTAAACCAGGTGTAGCACAAAGTAAGTATTTCAAATATCAACCCGGGTGACCTATATACCCTTTCTTTCGCTATCTACAAGTTATCTGACAATCGAATTGTTATTAAAACTAATAAACTAAGCAAGCAAGCAATTAAACCGATGTTGAATTCAATCGATAAAAGATCAATCGGACGATATTCCCCTTAGTCCCAGGTTGAGATGCTACTGTGATACTCTAATGCGATAGGCAAGCTTCATATACTGTTAGGAGAGCTAAAGTAGCTAGGACCCCCTATTCGAGTTCATCCTAGCCCGCTTAATCGATCTAATCGGAGGGACGTACCTCATACCCGCAAAGTCAACTAAGCAAACTGATTCTACTCCCTCGAGATTAACTTAGAACGGCATAGAGTCACTAATCCCAACGATTCATGGCACTCTACCATGATTGAGGGGTGACCTGAATTGCACTAAGGGATTCTCTCCCTCCTAGGTCATTTGCCGCGAAATTGGAAGATTTGATCGATAACACCCAGTTTGCATAAGAATATCTAAATTAATATATAAATCAAAATACTGATTCCCAATAGATTTCACAAACTACAACCTACAACATTCTAGACTAGGGTTCTTATCATCCAAGTGAAAAGGTGTACTACTCCATAGCTAGATGTGAAATAACAGCTAATATTGAAAAAAAATCACATGAGAAAGTGGTTCTTCCTCTTCCTAGTTGCTTGAATGGATCCTTCGAGGAGAAATATGCCCACCACCTGGCTTGAGTAGGTCAATTTCACCTTCTTCCCTTCCTTGCTCGAATCTTTCTCTCTCTAAACTTGAAGAAGAACCCTCAACGCTCTCTCTATAACTCCCTTCACTTTCAACTCATTCTCCATTATATAGTCTGTGCTTGCTCAAATCACTATTTCACTTTAGGCCCATGAAGTATGTAATGAAACTGTCAACTCAATGCAAAATGAACTGTTTTATTAACATACTTCACAGTCTTGCTATTGACTTCACGGTCAGAAGACCGTGATAATTACAATGCCCCCACACTTGAACATTTGTTTTTCACCAAGCAAACTTGCTCAAACCAGTACAGCTTGTAGGACCAAAACAATAGTATGCATTATCAATTATCGGTGGCGCCTAAAAAACACTCAAAGTCGGGTAAACCTTACTTCCATCTCTTCGTGTCAACACACACTCTCGGATGAGGACCTTGTCAACTAAGGAGGTCTAGACACTTCACGTGTACACTTGGGGGGACTTAGACAACGTGTGAAAATCAAAGGACTCCATGGTGGTGCTCCTACTTTTTTCAAAAGAGAACTCACTTTTTCGAGCCTCAAATTAAAGTTTGCCGTACATGGCACCAGTTTTTGAAAATTAAGGCATTTCTCCCTCGTGCTAAGAGTAGAAGTACATTGCCTTCTCTATCAAAGCCTCATGTGGGAACGTGATGGTTGGATTCATTATCACAAGCACCACTTCCCAGCCTGAACTCATCGTCTCAACGACCGATGAGTTGCCACACATGTAGGTACCAACGAGAGCCTAAGATCTCAATGACTTGCTTAAAGGCACACATTCTCTTTATCATACAAGTCCGTGAGGAAAAGAGGCGTTTGGGGGAAGGAAAGTAGTGAAAGATGATGGAATGCTAGAAAGCTATACGTCCCCAAACTCATCCTCAAATCGAACTCTGGACTAAGAAAAAAGCCCTTCGACAGCTTAACTCAAACACTATGTCTAGTTGCCTCTCACATGAGAACACTCAATTTTTCAAAAGATTTTTTTTTTCAAATTGGAACACATTTTGCAAAAACACATTTGAATCCAAAATTAAGGAGTCTCACACACATGTCCAACCTACATAACAAACACTTTCACGCATTCGAGAGAAAATAGAAGTAAAGCCACTTTTTATCATGAATTTTTTTAGCACTAAACTATTCCCTATAATCCACATAATCACAATCATCAAACAATTTAAAGCACACTGAGTAAGATCAAGCTTGGGACAATTGTGTGACCACTAGAATTTTCAATTTAAGCAAGAATCTAGGTTCCAAAACACATTTCAATATCGGCCATAAATCAATCATTCATGCACAAGTGCTTGGTGCCCTGAAATTGTAAAAAATTTGGAAATCAAAAGGCTCCAAAGGATTCAAAAATGCCATTCACACTCATTATTCACACGTCAATCATAAATATATGTACACACTACAAAAATGACATTGCCATAGATTTTTACCAAACTCTCTTCACCTTGGAGAATCAAGTGTTGAACATGGAAGCCAGGGTCCCAAATCTACCGATATCCCGTAAAGTAACGGCTGAAATGAATGGTAGACTTACGGGGAACGTCTTTCTGATGAAATTCGTAAAACGGTCTTCTCAATGGGATTGAAGCAGGCACCGGGGTCTTATGGGTTCATTGGGAAAATCTTCAAATCCTTTTGGGATATTGTGGGTGAATCTATGACTGGAGCTATATGTTATTTCTTTAGTACGAGCAGGATTCTCCGAAGTTTTAATAACCCTTGGATAACGCTGATCCCGAAGGTGGATAATGTGGAAGACATTAGATAAATCAGGCTGACAAACTTATGCCAATTTGTGTATAATATTATAACAAAATTCATGTCTGAAAGACTAGCCCATTTCTTACCATATATCATTTTGGAGGGCCAAAATGCTTTCATCCGTGAACGACAAATAGTGGAAAATGTCTTGTTAGGGCATGAGATAATGCACTACTTGAAAATCATAACTCGAGACAAGAAAGGGTACATGGCTCTAATTATTGACATGGAAAAGGCCTATGATAGAGTCGAATGGCCATTTCTCCTTGCAGTTTTGGACAAATTGGGTTTTAACTCTACTTGGAGAGGTTGGATCCATGAATGCCTCGGTTCAATGTCGTCTTCGGTCCTTATGAATGACACACCATCGGGTTTCTTCAAACCCTCAAGTGGTCTCTGTCAGGGGGACCCCCCTCCTGTTTTTTATTTGCACTAAGGGGTTCGCGACACTCATCTGAAAGGCCATTTCAGAAAGGAAGCTTGAAGGGGTTAAAGTTTCCCCTAGAACTCCATGGATTTTGCATTTATTTTTTTGCAGATGACTCTTAATTATTCCTAAGAGGTTCTGTGCAGGAATGTGAGAACCTGATTGAGGTTCTAAATGAGTACGAGGAACTCAGTGGCCAAAGGGTTAGCTTGGGTAAATCGACAGTGTGCTTTAGCATAAATAAATCTCTTCTAGGCCAAGATTTTCTTGCTCAGATTTCAGAGTGGGGGCTGTGGGGTTCCAGGATAAATATCTAGAATTGGCCACACTGATAGACCAATCGAAAATGGCTACTTTCGGATTTTTGGAGGAAAAGCTGGTGGGTCGGCTTTAGGGATGGAAGCAAAAGACAATGTCTTGTTTCAAGCTCTCTCTCTCTCTCTCTCTCTCTCTCTCTCTCTCTCTCTCTCTCTCTCTCTCTCTCTCTCTCTCTCTTTTTGTCGACTCTTAGATAGACACGTGGCCAGATTTTGGTGGGGTTGTTGAGGAGGGTCATTCCCGAATTTGGATGTCTTGGCAGAATATGTGTCATAGTTATCACAATGGGGGAATGGGGTTTCGACGCTTCGAACATTTTAACCAAGCGCTTTTGACCAAAATTGAATGGTGCGTCCTAAACGAACCACATTCGCTCCTTTCCCAGGTTTATAAAGGACCAACAGGGACCTTCCTCATTGCGATGTCACGGTCTCGTCCATCTTGGGGATGGCAGAATAATATATATTAGTAAAGGAGCTCTGATGGCATATTGTTAACGGGCGGGCAGCTTCAATGCTTTACTCAAATTGGATACATCGGTTACACCCCATACCCATATGTATAATCCCTAGGTGCTGCTAGCGAGTGGAGATCCAAAGGTGATGGACGTGATTTTCCAATGGGAGGGGCCGTGGTGTGATGTCAAACTCAGCTAGTGGCTTGACCCGGAAACTTGTCATTCCATCAAAGCAATCCCTCTTCCTCGTCAGGAGGTTGAGGATAGGTTAATCTGGCATGACACGTGTGACGGGATATTCACTATAAATCGGCAATATCGTCTTGCAGTCTTTCTAGATAAGCAGGTAGGTCGATGGCGATCCAAGACCAGTTGGATGTATAGGTCCAGGTGGATTGCTTGTGGGAAGCCAATATTCCACCCAAATTGAAGGTGTTTTATGGCAGTTTTCCATCGGATCCTCCCAACGACAGAAGCCCTAATTGAGAAGGTAAGTTCATGTGCTACCCAGGTGCCCGATTTGTTGGGCAGAATCGGAGACAATTGAACATTTGTTTCTTGACTTCCTATTGACAAGGGTACTATGGGATCATTCAGGTCTCGAATATCTTGGCAAGATTTGACTCGTTACACTTTTCCGCTCTTCCTTAAGAAGTTGATGGTCCTTATACATCAACCTCAACTATTTATGCCTGTTGTCGCGGTCCTTTAGCGAATCTGACAGTCACGAAATTGGGTTGTCTTTGAGAGCAAACAATTTGGGATCACAACTTTAATGCGGCGTTTCACCAGCAATACCAGGAGTGGATTATGATTGAAAAATAATAAAGAAAATTAATACTAAACAAGGGCATTTGAGTCATTTTGCAGCACATTTAACGGTTGATCAGCAGATAATTAGACTGTAAGATATATTTGTTACATTTTAATAGTAGAAGCGTATGTATGTGCAAAGAATTAATAGAGAGACAGGTTTGTTAATTTGCGATAGTAGAAGCGTACATACTGTTATTAATCCAGCGTGCAAAGAATTAATATAGATAATGCCAATGTTAGTTTGGATGATCAGGAATAGGGAGCTTTTGTACTTGGAGGTGGTGGACAATCACACTTTAGAGAGTAACAAAGTTTCCTCTCATCTTGCTTATAAGAGTAGAAATTTTGATATCGATGGGAGCAAAATGGTGAATCGTTTGAGGGTTACGGAAGTTGGTGTATGTGAACTCATCAACCTATGTTGACCCAAACCATGAACTACAAACACAACCCACATGCAATCTCTATATCAAATCATCAGCTATCTCCCAGCCAAATCATGGAAAGGAGATGAAGATTTATTTGGGATATGCAGTTTAGTATTGTCTAGGAGGGAGAGTAGCATTCGTAATCTCTGAGACTACCAAAGCATCAGCAAGTGCTCTCCAAAGGTCAACATGCAACGAATTTGGTTCGCCTGTTTCCCTCAGGACAGGTTGGAGCCTTGAGCATACTTCTTCCTACCTAGCAGCAACTAGTCGCAAGAACAAGACATCGGTAATGAATGCAACATATCAATGGACATCAAGTGGTACAATTCTCAACTATTTGGAAAAACAACAACCATGCACTTGAAGTATAACAGTCAAAATGATTGTCTAATGGTTCCAGTTACATATAAGATGGTTCTCCAAAGAAAAGTGCACTTATACTCGATAACGACAGAGACAACAGAGAGCTAACTCGGTCCTCATCTCTCTCACTGCATGGACTGGATGCGCTTCATGATGATCAGGGACAAGTCCAAGTACCGCTGACCACAGTTGGAAAGGCATGCTGATTCGCCTGAGCTAAACTTGCTTCCCGGTGTGCTAGTGATGCACTTATCCCAGCACACGCTAGTTAGCTTCGCTACCATCTCATTCATCATGGCTTTTTCCTTTTCTTGCTGCAATTCAAAACCATAACAAAAAGGCAGCAATTGATGAACAACAATTCAGCGGCAGCTTGAAGAGATCACTAATTCCCTCCTCACCTCGCCTCCCCCAATTAATCTAACATCAGAATAAATACGGATAAGCAGAATACTAGGCACACTTGACACTGCTTGTCTAAGTGTAGAGCAAAGCTTACAGAGTAGCTCCTGCACACCACATAAAGGTGGAAAACTCTACAATTCACCAAGGATAAAACAAATGCATCCATACAACCAATGTAGCAAAAATCGAGTTTGTACGTATAAACGCTTTGGTGTATAAAGACTGAGATTTTGTGTATAAGCGTTTTAGTGACCTAGAAACGTAAAATCGTAAGTATTTAAGTTTTAAAGCACGATTTTTGACTACATTGCATACAACAACCGATACTTGGACTAAACTAAACACTGCATAGCAACTAGTATTTCCTAACCCTAGTGATTTAAAGCGCCGAATTCTCTTTTCCCAACATTTGGAGGCATTGTTCAAAGCACATCCTCAGGCAACAAAGCAATGTTCAACAGAGTGCATGATAATCTGAAGCAGTGAAACCTATTGGGTTCACTGAAATTTAATTCAACTTCTTGACGAAGGCCAAATTGGAACAGATACAGAATGAAACAACTACGAAGAAACTATGAACTCCATCGAAATTTTAATGGGAAAAGACACTATAAAGGCTGTTGTTGTGGGGAGCTTATGTGCGCTTACGATGAGGAAACGCTGCACTTCAGCAGAATCGACCGACGACGGATCCATTGCTACTGTCACGGATGGTGTGTGTTGAGGAAGCAGATGACTCTTTAAACCCTCCCTCGACTACTGCAGTTTTGAGAAACCCTAACCAACAATTACCACTGGAGAAGAAGAACAAGAATCGTCCCCCTCCTTGCGGAATTTAATCAGCGACTGAAAGGAATGGCAAGGAACTGGGCCCAGGCTGATTGAGTGGCGCTTCAGCTTACCAAAGCCCAATCAGTCATAGAACGAGGTAAGGCCTGTCGGGCTTTTCTTTCCACGGCTCGGTCTGCCAGGAGGTCCGACCCATTTGAGATGATGATATAATTAAGAGGTTTGTTGCCCCGGACCCATTAGGGATTCGCCACATGACTTCAGCGTTATCGGCCAACTTCCATGGTTCATTTTTTTTTTTTTTGAAAAACAATTTCCAAGGTTGGTTTAATCATGCATAACTAACTAACAATTGGCCGTTAGGGAGTAGCATCAGGTCATTAGATCTCGTTATTATTATTAGAGTTCCGCCCGCCCGTTTGTCGAATGAATTAAATCAATAGTATAAGCAATAACGTTTAGAAATGTGAAAATGTTTTTACGATGGTATATTTTTATCTCGTACAAATCATAAATATTATCAACTTTTCGCTCTTTCACCCCGTTATATATATATATGGTGGCTACTTCAGCGCACTCACTTTTTTGAACTTTAATAGTACTATCAATCTAATATGATGATATGACATAGAATCATAACAATCAATCTATTACCCTAACCCCGTAACCTTCAATTTTGAATTACAACCCAAAATCCCAAATTGTAAACCTAAACCCTAAATCCCTAAATCCTAAATCCTTCGAATGAAAGTAAATTTTGAATGATTTTTTTTCAAATTCATGTGCTTCTTGTTCATAATATCATAACCAACAATTGATACCGTTTTGACATGAATCCCATGCTCATAATGACAATTATGAGGCGGGTACACTGAGTGCACCCAAAAAAGTGAGTGCACCGAATACACCACCATATATATATGGTGACCACTTCGGGGCACTCACAAAAATGAGTGCGTTCAATGCACCCAACTCAAAAACTAGTCTTAAGGAGTCGGATTTTAAATTTTAATTTGTAGAATTAGTATAATATGATGATAAACATATGATAACAACTAATTAGCGGATTACCCTAAGCCCTAGACCTCCAATTTTGAGTACTATCCCTAAACCCCAAACTGTAAACCCTAACCCTAACCCTAGATCTTTAAACTCTAAATCCTTCAAATTAAAGCAAATCTTTCATGGTTTTTGTGCAAATCCATGTGCGTTATTGTTCATCACATCATAAGTGATGATTGACATCATTTTGACATAAATCTCATGTTTAAAACGACGATTATGAAGCGAGTGCACTGAATGCACCCAAAAAAGTTAGTGCACCGAAGACGCCACCATATATATATATATATGGTGGCGTCTTCGGTGCACTAACTTTTTTGGGTGCATTCAGTGCACTCGCTTCATAATCGTCATTCTGAGCAGACGATTCATGTGAAAACAATGTCAATCATCCCTTGTAGTATGATGAACAAGAACCACATGAATTTGTACAAAAATCATTCAAGATTCACTTTAATTTGAATGATTCAGGGTTTAGGAATTTAGGGTTAGGGTTAGGGTTTACAATTTGGGATTTTGGGTTTAGATTCAAAATTGAATATTAATAGGTTAGGGTAATGGGTTGATTAGTTGTGATTCTGTGTTATATCATCATATGAGACTAATGCTACCCATTAAATTTCAAAATTTGATGTATTATGACCACTTTTAGAGGTGGGTGCACTTAATGCACCGAAAAAAGTGAGTGCACCGAAGTAGCCACCATATATATATATTCGTTATTCACCATCTATAATCTCTTTCTTTATTTTAATAACATCATTATCCTCGTCACTAAATTCACTACCTCTGTTGTTACCATAACTTTCCCTCTTTTATTGCATTTTCACTAAATGTAAAAATTTAATGGCAATTTTTTTTAATTATGAAAACTTCTCATTTTCAAAGCTTAAATTTACCAAGTACATGTCATGAACTTTGTCTGAAATTGCTCTTCTTCTTCCTTCATTTATCTTCAAAACTGTGTCCCCACTTTTGGGGTATACGATGTTGTAATCAGTGAGTTTGATCTGGAAATTTAACATCATGTTCTCGATTTGTATGAGAAAGGAGGCGAAGGTTCTCTCATTTTGTCACTATCTTTGAATAGTTTCTCATGAGACATTCCAAAAATTCTAGCTTCCTCACGATATAGATCAATAAGTTAGATTAAACAAATCTTATCTACAACTCACAGCTAATCCTCAATCCATAAAAGAACAATAATTGGGATACATTATTTGATTAAAAAAAAAACTTTAAGTTTTAGTGGGTACGTTGTTTTCTCTCTAATGAATGAACTTGAAGTTAAAAACAACAGAAGCGTAGAGGTAGATTGTTACTTAACTACTATTGTCTTTGATGTTGTTGTATAATTCTTATAAAATAAAATTACTCATCATAGTCTTCTGGGCCTGGCGAAGGATTCTGAAGACTCGGAGTGTGCTGCAATAGTAGTTCTCTATGTAGGGGGAAACAGTCCTTTGGAATCAGATCCCTATGCCTAGGTTCTGTTTAAGTATTGTTTGGGAGGCAATAAGACCTAAATGGTCTGTTGTGGAGTGGCATAAGCTTGTATGGGGAACGGTTTCATTCCCAGAAACAGTTTTCTCGCATGGACGATTCTCCTGGATGGAATTGTCATCTTTGATAAACTGCTTGTATGGGGAAAGGTTGTGGATGATGTTTGTGTATTGTGTAAGCATGGATAGGAATCTAGGGAGCATTTGTTTTTCCAATGCTTGTATGCAAGAGAGGTGATGCAGGGGTTATGCTCTCTTAATTTTTATAGAACATCCTGGCCTGCTACTGTGGCTGCTGCTTGTGATTTCTGCAAACAGAGAAATGGTTATGTTCCAGGGATAGTTTGGTGCTTCCTGGTGGCTTCCATCTGGAAGGAAAGATGAAGACAGAAACATGGTGGACCTTCTCATTCAATTGCTGAACTGCAGGGGCTGATCAAGAGTGATCTGTTGATAATTGGAGCAGCTAGATGCATACTTGAAGACCTAACGTGTGTTGGCATCTTGTGATGTTTTTTTCTGAGTTCTAATCCAGTTCATTTACTGGTGGCTTCTGTAAGTAGTAGTAGTTGTAACCAGCAGTAGTGGTCAGTTGAGGATTTTGAGACTTTTTGGGTATCCTTGATATACCCATTTCGTTGTATTTGGTTCTCCTAGCATCTTGCTAGTTTCTTATTAATAAAATGAGGGCAACTGATTCAACGGGGGAAAAAACTTTTCTTTGGCAACTTAAAAATCAGAGTTGAAAAGAATGAGATATTGTCCGCTAAATTTGTGAGAAATTGAAAATCTCTTAATTATAGCTTTTGAGATGTGTACTAAGCGTAACTAAAGTAGGTTATGTACCAAACTTTTGTCCCTTTTCCTTAGTTGTTTGACGATAGTAGGCGCAGAAAACAATAAATATAGTACTCAATAATAGTATGAATTAACTTAAAAAACTCAAAATAATACTAAGGTGCTATAGTCTCATAATTTATAAAAAAGAAAGCAAACGGAGTTGCCGGTTTGCAGCTATGATCAAAAACTATACATCACAACCCTAGATCTAAGGTGCTATGGTCTCATAATTTTTTATCGTTTCCAGGAAAGAACCTAAGAAAGAAATTATCAAGCTAATGGTTTTAATCTTTCAAATTCTTATCTCTAGATGGAGAATGTGATCTATATTTCATCACACTAAGAGAAAATCAATAGAATTGAGTAAAAAATAATTAATTAATTGATAATTATATTCATAAACTTCATTGATAATTATATTTATAAACCTGCTCACCATTATCAATTTCACTGATAATTATATTTATAAACTTTCTCACTATTATAATTCTCACCAAAGTTATAATTCAAAATTATTTGATTTGTTTAATTAATTTATTAAGAATTAGTTAATTAGCAAAGTTACACATATAATAATTTGTCTCAAACACTTACCTTTACAATAAAATTAAATTAAATTAAAATTTAAAACTATATACTATATAGACACACATGCACAAACCTCGGACAAAATATAAAACCCCATATTTCCTAACAAAAAATAATATAATAATAATTAGTTTAAAAAAATTCCAACGAAATAATTTTTTCATTAGTATAATTAACAAAGAGTTATGTTAAGGTTCTTAAAAATTAAAAAGATAAATATGTCCTTTCAAAATTTACTTAGAAGGCTAGAAATTTAGAATTAGTCATCTTATGGAGAACCTCTATATATTAGTGTTAGGATGGATAGGATTAATCTAACTTAGGGGTGTTTGAAAAAATAAATAATTAATTAATTAAAAATCATTGATAATTATATTTATAAACCTGCTCACCAAGCCCAAGACTAACCTCCACAGGAATAAAATGCCAAGGCAATAAACAAAGATCTCATCTACTGGAATGAATCTTAGTACAAAGTAATGAATTGATTGATTCGTTGCTTCCAATTAAAGAAGCTCTCTTAACCCAATTAGATTTTATCTCTCCTAGGTTAAAGCAGAAATCAAGAGAATGTGATCAAGACTCAATTCACTCGAATAATCATGCCTTAGTTGAATAAAATCAATCAGTATAACATCCAATGGATCATACAAGAAAGATCATAATACATGGAACCAGAGTTCTTCATACCCAAGTGAGAAAGATGTTTACTCCAGAGAGAGAGAGGAAAACCAAAATCGGTGTAGTCATACTCATGAAGATGTGCATAATCAGCTCCGAGATGTCGATTTGCTCTCCAAAGGGCAAAATCCAAGCTTCAATCGTGGTATCTCAACTCAAATCAGCTCCAAGTTCTTGTTCTTTTTCAATTTCTCAATTTAGAACTCTATTTTTGTTGTCCAAAGTAGGCTCCTTAGCAAAAAAAAAACTCGAGGTTTGCTTTTATATCAACATCTGCCCGTTTACACGGCCTGCCATAATGTCGTGTAAACTCTCGTTTAGCCTGTGTAACCATGGAATGCACTGTTTCATTTAGCACCAACAAAGGGGAGTTTGCATAGCCTCCTCCTTAGTACGTACGGCAGTGTAATTCGCCGATTAGGCCGTGCAACCTCATTGGTCTTTGCTAGAAAACCTGCATGGTCATCGGTGCATTTTCACAGCATGTGCAAATCGGGAGCCTCTTTTCTGTTCGGTCATTCACATAGAGTGTGAATCAACCTTCAGATCATGTGTTCTTCCTCTCCTTGGTTCCAATTCCCAAACTTCGTCTAATCGTCACCAAACTCACTCCTAGGCTCTCATATACAATCCAGGGCCTGAAATGTCATAAACAAGAACAACCAGCGTAAAATAGGCCATAGGAGAGATGAAGCAAGCTTAAACGATCAAGAAATAGAGGGTAAAACATGTGCAATAACATTATTATCAGTAACCCTTCATACAACTATTATACTTTTATCAATATAGTAAGCCAACATATGACAATCATTCCAGTTATACTATCATTTTATCACTATGGTAATA